TTCTTCTTCTGTTTCCGGAGGGGCATTACCACCAACTACTGGAATGGAGTGTGAATCGGGATGTGCAGCCAGATGGAGATGACGCGTTCTGCTCATGCGCTCTTGTTATCAGAGAACCGAGCCAGAGAAAAACCGAGTCGAGCCCACCTCTGGAACTGGTCTGCAGTTAGCTCGGTTTGGTTCAGTTTGCTTTCCATTTACACACGATAAGTTATTTCAGTTACTGAGCTCGGACCGGTTTTTCAAGGGTAGTGTCAATGGGGTATAAGAGATTGCCACTCTATGTCCCAGAGCAAGACCATTAATCCCACACTGCTCCCCAGGGGGTGTACAGGTGCTCCTCAAGGGGATGGGTTAAATGCAGAAGTGAATTTCTCCAGTTTGAGATCAATAGTTAAATTATTATCATCAATAATGGTTTGATTTTTGGATTGGATGACTAATAGCTGGCCTATCCTCCACCTGAGCTGTGAGTCTCTGCCGCTCCTCCAAATGTGTATAAACTTCGAGGCTGCTGCTCACCCTGCCATCATCATTTAAGGTGTATGGCCATTTCATGATTTACTTTGTAGAAATGTCCCTTTCTTTTAATTAGCCACTTTTTTATGTTGGTCTGTTGCATAACATTTGTATAAAATACAGTTTCACTTGTGGTTATAATGGGACAAATTTTCTCCATGTTCCTGGACTTTAAGGATGATTCATTATTTATTTATAAATGTAATGACTGTGTTTTTTTTCCCCTGGTAGACATTTACCTTCAGGGCTTTGCTGTTCCTTTCTGTCGTCATGATCCAATTGTCGTCAGCTTCCCCCAAGCACCAGTTCAGACAAATATAGACACTATGAAAAAAAAAAAAAGAATTAAGTTAAGCTTTCCCATGTGATTCAAGTCATTGTGCTGTTTTTGGCTTATATCTGGCCTGACATTTACCATCCGCTCACAAGACAGGCGGTAAAGCACACGCTGTAAAGAAAAGGAGAACCCGCAGATCTTTCATGCTTCTCCAAACGCGCTCTGTCATTAAACTCTTCGGTTTGATATGGGAGGAAGAGGAGGTTTTGAAAACGACGGGGCTGTTATATTTTTTTTCTACTCGCTGGAATGGTGAGGAGGAAGTTATATAGTGTGTCTGCCATTTAGTTGCTCAAAGCAGGTGTCCTAACAAGTTCACTCGACACTTCCTCTTGTCAACACCAACGGTTCAAATCTTTCACTGTAAAAAAAATTAAAACATCTGAGGAATATCCTGACAGACAACCTTTAACATTCTTATTTGATTTGCTTTAAAATAACTCATCCTGATAGACTTTAAGGGCTGTAAATAGATTATATCCACTAAAGTGAACCTTTAAAGGTAAAACGAAAGCTGTGTGTTGCAACAGTGGATAAAAACAAAGGTGAGACTGTTTAACTCAGCTGTATTTGTCATGTTTCTCCCTGTTTTTCTCACTCAGCACTTCACACAGAAATTGCATCAGAGCTGCCTACGAGCCACTTAAGGTCAGCTCGCAAATATCGTTGCGTGGGATGAAAGTCTATCCTCTAAGTGGGCTAACCGAAGCTGTTTTTCCCCTTGGTGTTTTTTTTTTTCCATTTAGTGGTTTTCACTCGGATCACTTTGATATTGTTAAGGTTTACAGTGTATGGGGAAGGTCTATAAGCTGATCTGAGCTGCAAACAGTGGGGAAAAAAAGGGAAGGTGTAAAATAAAACAAAAAACAAAGTAAAGTGCAACAATACTACTTTCACACCTTAAGGAAAACCACAGGGTGTTTTCCTGCCCTGCTTTTGCAAAGTCAGTTTTTCAAATTTCTGATTTTTCGCAACTAGGGATTTTTCTCTTTAGAAAGCAAACATCCTTTCTCCGACTCACGCCTTTCACTCCTGATGTTTGGGGGGGGGGCTGACCAGGGCTGCTGCATGACACTGCATTTTTCCTGGATTGCAGTTTTGCCTTGCGGCTACTCTGAGGTGGTGTTGGCTAATGGCAGCTCCTGTGATGATCTTTCTTTTTTTTTTTCATTGTGAAACAGACTTAGTCAGGCCAGTCACACTGAATGCAGTTTTAATCATTTAAGTTTCAAAGCATTATCATGGTGTTCTGCAACTTTTGAAACCGCTTCCTGTTTACTAATCAGTCAGCATCACATTGTTGACCTAACCTATGACCTGTACTAACATAGCCCCTAAAGCCGGGCAGACACTGTACGATATTTTCAACCGTTGCACGCAGCTACAGCTCAATCTGTATGATAATCTGTACGGTTTAAAAGTTCACACCCCACTATGTATGTTGTCACACTGTGCGGCCCGGCGCTTGGATGCAAACTTACGACAGCCGACTGAATTTCTAACATGTTTGATTTTCTCCCGACCTTACAATTCCTGATCAGGTGGTGGTCGTTAGAGACTTATCGCCCCTTGTTACCCCGTGTAGACTACACAACGCACAATCGAGCAGAAAGTCGGCCCGATCGAAAAATTCTTGCACCACAGTCATTCTTATCCCGATAGTGGTGAGCTGCCCCATAGCCATAGAAGTGCTGGGGCACACTGACGCCACCATCAGTACACAGTTCCTAATGACATTAGTTTGCAATTGAATAAAAATATCACATTGCTCTTAATTATTGTTCTTCTTTACTTTAGTTCCTCTATGTACAACAGTGAACATAAAACATAGATTTGGGCCTTATTTTTGTTTATTTCTTAATCACTTTGTACTGTCTATGTGCAAACTGGTTCTGGTACCACTGAAGGCAATATTTAACAGCAGATACAAAAAATACAAAAGTTTACCGTAGAGCTACTTTAAACCCCATTGGAAAAAGAGTGAGTTGTTTACTGCTGTTAATCTTGATCAAAACTTTTTTTAAAGAAGAAAAATTAAGGAACTTTTTTTTTTTTTTAAAAACACTTCCCCAGGAAACTAAATCCCCCTGAATAAAAAAATTGGGTCTATGAATGAAACCACAGTCCCAAAAAATTAAAATACATAAATAGAAACAGCTGACCTTTGTTGATTTGGTTGCTAACTGCTTTTAGCAATCCAAGCTAACAACAACAGGTGCATTTTGTCTCTTCAAAAGCTGCAGAAACCTGCAACTAACGATTATTTTACAAATCAATGAATCTGTTGATTATTTTTTTGATTAATCGATTAATAATCATATAGCAAAAGGCACCTTAAAGAAGATTTTTCTCAAAACTAAAACAGGTGAAACTCCTAACTTTTTCACTTCTGGATAGAGGATACTGACAGACGATAATGTTTTTTTTATTTGAAATGCAAAAAGTTAATTTTTTTTTCTTTTGAAGACTTAGTGAGAAAAACAAATCACTTCTTATTCTTGTGGTCATTGCTATATTTATATGAAAAGCAGCCAAATCTTACTTTCCCACCCAGAAATAAGACTCCAGGTGATCTTGCTTTTAATTAAACAAACTGAAACCTATTTATTTAAACTAAAATGTACATTAAACCACATTCTACAGCCTACGATGCCTCACCAATGGACAAAAGACATATTAGCTGTGCTGTTCTACCATGTAAATGCCCAGTTTAATTGCATTATTACTTTCTTACATGAACTGCTGACCTGTGTGTTTCTTCTAAAGCCTACCGTGCTCATCACAACCAGACAGAGTTAAGTAACACAATCCAAATCCTTCTTGCATAAAACAGCCTAGTAGTAACAGCTTTAGTGTATTTATGGTTCACAACCACAGATGGATTAGTCTAACACAGAAATAATACATGGAGATACTGGGCAATAGACTTTTCCAGGTCCAAGGTTCTCAAACTGTGGTCCAAACACAACTGGTGGTACCCGAGTCACCTTTAGTGTTAACTCAGAGACTTTTGTCAGCAATTAACGTTTATTATATGTCTTTGTTTATGTATCGTGTCAGTCAGTCTGAGACACAAATGAATTGAGCTTCACTTACAACCATACAGATGCGATACTTGGGATTATTTCCAATATCAGATAATGGTGCATATTTTTCCACGTCATGTTTTTAAACACTTATTTCACACCAAATATTTAACAGTAACATTTCTGTGTCAGATTCAATGAGATGAAAAAATGATGATGTGGACTAAATGAGCTTATATCAGCAGTGATGTAGAAAATTTGAAATGAAATAGATATTTTCTCTTTACCTTAAATTTCTGTATCTTAAAGTACTGCAGTTTTTTTTTACCTGCTTTGTATCAACTGTACTGATACTACGTCAATATCAAATCTGTGGTTGTCTAATTTCTTCTTTCTGTTTTTATGTTTAGTCTTGTAGTTCTTAGTTTTAATCATCAACATTTCTCTTAAAACTTTTCAGGTGTATTATGTTTCTCTAATCCAGTTCCTCCCAGCTTTGAGCCTCTTCCAAGCCGTTCCCTGTGGTGTCTAGTTATTTACCATGTTTTGTGTCTTTGTCTTTGACATATTATTAGGTTACATGGGATGTTCACTGCTCACCTCAGAGACAAGCTCAAGGCCAGAAAATCACCGACTCCTTCAGAACTACAAACCTGTGCTCAGTTTTCCGATACGAAATGGAGCCTTTTGCTACTAGTCATGTCATACTCACCATCCGTCAATCGGTTTAAAAAAGGAAACGTGGCTTTGTAACTCCACCAAATTATTACAAACAGCAGGAAGTTGCTTTGCTATTCTTGATTTCCTCATAAGTCAGAATATATGAAAACTAGTTGGCTCAAACCAGGTTCAGATCCAAAAGAAACAGAACCAGGATGGTATTAAATTTTCATGTTTTCCTTTGATAACAGTGTTGGAAAATCTGATGGGCCTAATTAGCTTGCAGTTTTTAAAAAGAGGATCAATATTCAGCTCATAATTAAGCTAAACAAATAAACTCATGTGAAATGTATGTATTGGTATAAATGGGATGGTGCTCTCAAGCTTATTCACTGTAATCTTATGTCATTCAAGACCAGAGGTGTCAAGTAACAAAGTACAAATACTTTGTTACCGTACTTAAGTACACTTTTTAGGTATCTATACTTTACTCCATTACTTATTTTTCTTTCTACTTCTGACTTCTACTCATTACATTTTCACACAAGTATCTGTATTTTTATCCTATCTTAAAGATTTTTTCTAAATAGTTGAAAAATTGAGTTTTCAATTCATATAGTGGCATCTGGCTGGTTTTATTTTTTTAAAGGTTACTTTATACTTTAATACTTTAAATAGTTTTTGGAGCACATACTTCTTCCTTCAACTGATACCAGAGTGTTTTTAAACTGCAGTATCTATACTTCTACTTAAGTAACAAATGTATGTACTTTTGACACCACTGTTCATCTCGCTGTCAGATGTGAGGAGACAGGGAAACACCTAAAACATGCAAGAAACCCTGGTCTGAGGCCTCTGTACATGGGTTACACGCTCTACTCCTGCAAGATGACCTTTTCCAAGGAAGACGCTCCAGTTCCTAAGTGGGGCCAATGCTAGAGCTAATGTTAAGTTACAATTTACTAGGGGTGGAACGGTTTATAAAACCCGTCCGAACCGTTCATTTCGACTGTTTCGGTTCAGTTCGCGCGTGTTCCGTTCGGTTCATGCGCTGCTCCTTTTTCTCATAGGCGACGCGTGTACACTCCAGAGCAGAAGGTGGCGGTACTGCGACCAAAGCCAACCACCAGTAGTAAACAAGAAGAAGAAGCAAAGTAGCGTAGCCGGGTGTAGCAGAAAAAAAACAGTTGTTATGGAGAACTGTGTGGGTATGGCGAGTGGGAAAGAACAGGAGTTGGAAGACGCTCCAGCAGCACTTTATAGGTCTGCTGTGTGGGACCACTTTGCATTTAGAGTGACCTACGATGACGGCGGAAAGAAAGTTGTGGATAAAAACAACCAACATGTCAGGCTAACAATCAACATATACCGAACCGAACCGAAAACCGTGACCACGAAACCGGCAACCGAACCGCGGATTTTGTGAACCGTTCCACCCCAACAATTTACTAATTTTTGTTTACATTCGAAAAAAATCTGTGGCTTCACGATCGATAAAAACCCCAAACCTACTACATTTCTAAATGGTTTAACGCATAACGTGTTTTTAAGAAATTATATGTCCAACAAACCTACAAATATAAAAAGCAATGTGACAAAATGTTAAAATTTAGAACTGATTCCTCAGTCTCTAAAATCTAATATAAAAAAATATATAATAATAATAATAATAATAATAATAATAAAAAATAAAAGTGGCTTTTTCCTCATTTAACGTTTTTTAAAGAAATTATATAGCCAACTACTAGAAGTTTAAAAAGTAATGTGAGAAAATGTTATTTCCGCTCAAAATTAAAAACAGTCTCTAAAATATAATATATAAAAAACAAAATGTGGCATTTTCCTAATTTAAAACACAGTCGAAAATTGAGCTTTCGATTCATATAAGGTTACTCTATACTTTTATACTTTAAGTAGTTTTTGGAGCACATACTTTTTCACTTTTACTTGAGTAAAGAGGTCAAGTTGATACTTAAACTTTTACCAGTGTTTTTAAACTGCAGCATCTATACTTCTACTTAAGTAACAAATGTGAGTACTTTTGACACTGGATAAATTACAAAAATACAAGTTATCATTCTAAATCTATAATGTTTATAGATTCCCCAAAAAAAAGTATGATCCCTAGCTTAGACTTTGTTTATATAGATGTGATCTCTCTTAAAGGAGACAGGACAGAAGTGGATGGAAAGGACCCAGAATCACCTGTACTGGTTGGGCCCAACCGGAAGTCCGTGGTGTCTACAACTCCCACCCAGCGGCTGGTGAACCAAAGCTCTATAAAACGCCTTTTAATGGGCGAGTTGGTTTGCTGACAGCTCTCTCCGTTTCCCGACATGCGTAGGAAGTCAGAGGTTAAGGCAAAAAAAGTGTTTGTCCAGGCAGCAGCAACAGCAGCAGCCGGGTGGACTTAGGCTGCAAACCGATGAGACCGCCGTTTTGTAAAGTCAGGGTGATTCAGCAATAAGCCTTCTGCTTTAGCTCCGCCAAGACTTAGAAGTCAACCAGCAGCAGCCAACGCAATAAGAAACAAATACAGCTTTAAATACTCTCCCTTTGTGGTTAAAAATAAACTGTTACTCTAACTGTGTATCACAGTTAAATAACAATTTATGGAAGCAACAAGTAAACATGCCACGGTTAAATATAAGCTCGGATAGATTCCCTATTATACCCTTTATATACTCTTTTTAAAAATGAATTCCGATTTCAACACATAAACAAACTCCTCCTCGTGTTGTTTACCACTTTGTCTGAGATTTTAAACCAATCCTTCACCTTATATGAGAGGAGCCGACCAGCTAAAGCACGGTTGCTGTAGTAAACAGCCACCAAAGTGCCTCGGAAATGTAGGTTTTATTTATTTAGACGCCGATAAATCATACAGAGATATGTTAAAGTAGAAAACATCCGCTTACGTCAAATAATACGCGGAGACACAAATCAAGAAGTGAAGCTAACGCGTTTTCTTAACATGCTAGTGATGTTAACTGTTAGCAGCTAGCATGAACGGTTTAAAGCTAGAGCAGAACAGCTGCCTGCTCACTTGTCCTTGGTTGGCGAGCCGCCCGGCGGGGAGCATTCCTTTAATACTCGGTTATTACTACCGAATAACACATTCTTATGTCATAATGAGGCCGTTATATTCTGTATAATGAAAAATAATTTACCTGCTGGTTCGACGCGACTGTGGCGACAAAATGTCAGTCCGCCTTTTCCCGGAATTACTCTGCTGCGCTCTGAGGTTGGATTCTTTCATTCATAAAAAACACCAAGCGACAATGACGTCAGGCCCAAAGAATGGGGGCGGAGCTAACCGCCCACCTCGGCGCTCTCCAGGAGGATGTAAACAAGGAATCCCTGCAATCCTAGAACTTTTCCATGAACGAGTCCTTTTATTATCCCAATAGCAGGAAAACAGCCCAGAAACACATTTTTAACAGTAAGCACTTTTTGACTATAAAACTGAGCTATGACAAATTAAAAATAAACCATAAAAAAAGGATTTTTAAAATTATTTTAAATAAACGTTTTCTTGATTTCAGATCTGTAAAATTACTTTGTTTACTATGTTTGAGTGATATTCAAACTATAAGAGATAAACAGTGAAAAAATTAACAAAACTATTAAAAAAAACTCTAAAAGTTCCACAAAATATAAAATATTTATTTTAGAATCAAGCATTTATACTTTACTTATATGACTGGATGATAATTTTCTAGGTTGATCTAATTATTTTTACTATCATTTGGTCATAAATTAAATAATTATTGCAACTATTGGAAACCTGTCTTTTCACCTTTTACAGTCATAATAAAAATTCATTTGACAGGGGGAGGAAAATGCTTGTCTCCCACAAGCTTGGTCAAATCCTCAATTACAAATTGACGGCACATATTAATTTTATAATTTCGTATTTTATCTCTAATTTTTGCAGTTTAGTTTTGCGGTAATAACCTGTTCTGACAGGTAAATGGCCTGTCACCACTGACTTTAATTTAGACCGGAGAAGCATGCAATTGTATGTGTATACATTATATGGTATTTAATAATACCAAATGACTATGCTGCGTATGTTTTTAATAGGTAATAGGTTTTTTCATTTTTCAAGTTTTTGACAGATTGGTTGGGCTATTTTTAACACTACATGCCTGTGCAAATTCCTAGTCATCCTAGTCATGGCAACCACAAACAGGCCTATCTAGAACTCACAAAGACTCTTGGATAGGTGTAGAAACTTATTTAAGAGGAAAAACTAAGACAAACGGAGTGCATCTTTTAGTCTTTTGATTTTCATTTTAGTAAAGGGTATGAAAAATAAAAAAACAAACAAAAACAACAAATGGCTATTTTGTTTTTGTTTTAAATGCAAAAATCAAAATTGAAATAAAGAGCTTTTCTAATTTTCAGTGTTATTAAGTGGTGAGCAAAATTTTTAGAATTATTTATGATTCGTTTACCATTTAGAAAAACAAGAAATACATTGAAATCAAAATAGAAAAGAGAAATGTCCAGTTTCTTAACATTAAAAAAAGGATGTTGTCTCTGTACAGGGGGCCAGTGCTCTGTCCAGTCAGCATAATTTGTCTGATCACCATATACTTCAATTTATCAGACATGACTTGCCAGTTTAATGTGAGACCAGCATCTTCTTCTTCTTGCCTGCTGCATAAAATCCTGATTTTATAAGTTATGTCAGAACAGGTCATAGAGTTCATGAAGCATAGAAATTAAACAAAGATCAAAACATCATAACAAACTTGGTCTAAAAAAACACATCTTTATTTGAAATAAAACAGCAATCTATCTTGCTCTTAAAAGCCAAATGAGACATAGAGGCAAATATGCTTTTAAAGTGAACTAAGGGGCTAAAGCTTCAAATAAATGGGAGTACATTTATAACAGAACAGTTTACTCTTTATAAATGAATAAATTAAATCAAAGGTTTACTTCATACACCTATAACCAAACCTTGAAATATTTAATTATGCAGAAAAAGCCCAATGCAGAAATGAGTTTGACACATTATACAGATACTTGATTTAGTAGGCATGAGAGGTATGGAGAAGAAATGAACATGAAGAGAACATAACAGCAAAATTAACCAAGACATTGGCCCTAAAGAAATGTCTTTGTGAAAACTGAAAGGTGAAAAATATAGTGTAGTTATTTTTAAACTTACATGTTCAACAAAAAATGCAACAGCATGTGAAAGCGGTACAGTACGTGACAATAAAAATCAGGGAGTCCCATCAAACTTAGTCAGTTTTATTCCAAAGATTTTTTATTTTTTAGAATCATTGCACTGCATGTGGATGGCAACCTTGTTTTAGTCTATATAAGAGCTTAACTAAGTGGTTCTAAATATATTTTCCATGCAATGCGTGTACCCTGTCAAATATGATGCCCTCGTAATGCCAACAACCATATCCGGTTTCGGAATATGAACGTATGGGTCTTTTTTATATTCATGTTATAAAGTAACTTTATCTTTTGTAATCCAAAATAAGGTTTGAAACGCATGTCATTTTTTTTCACCATATAGTTTTAAAACTAAAAAGAAAAAAAATTTATTTAAATTTTGGATTTTATATTTGAAGCAAAAAAAAAAATAAATAAATAGCAACCTAAATTTTTTTTATTTTTTAAATATATTTCTTAAAGGAAAATCAAATGACCAAAATATACAAAGTCCCATTGCCTCAATTTAAACCCTATTTTGTGCCATGCTTTTTTATTGGAGCTATTAGACAGCCGTCGCTACAGGGGGCGCTGTTTGTTCCACCTGTCGTCCAAAGTGACCCCTGCACTCCTACCCTTACCCTGACAAGTCTCACGTTTTTCCCCTACTGTGACCTCAGACTGTCGTCTCAGGCTTATTTTACTGAAATTGAATGGAATTGAATGAAAACAGCTGAAAATCAAATAAAAAATCGGCGAAACTGTACGACGGCTTCACAGCGGATTCCAGCTAAATTCGCCGGACGACCACCAGGGAAGTTAAAGAGAAGAAATGGCTGCAATTGAAGAGCTGTCCCCGGCTTCAGGCCCGGTGTCTACCCGGCCTCCAGAAGACGAGATAGACGACGATGAAGATGAAGATGTTAGCTTTCTCTCCTTTCAGTCATTACCCGTTTAAAAAAAGCGCTGTTTTCTTATTTTAGCTATGCTAACAGTGTTTGCAGGATGATTTCCTGTTAGCCTAGCCTTATTCCATGCTAAACTGTAAGCTAACAGAGCTCTTTATTTTCCTTATTTCAATCAAGTCTAGAAGAACAGACTTATTTAGCTTGAAATATCAGTGCTTCATCTCAGAATCGCCGCCATAGAGCCCACGCTGCTATATCTTGTCTTTCGTTTGATAAGTAAATTGTTTTTTGTCTCCTTCAGCTGGATGAGACCCTGGTGGAGAGGCTGTGGGGGCTGACAGAGATGTTTCCTGACACCGTGAGGTCAGCTGCAGATGTATCTGTGCAGTGCTCGGTCTCCTTGTTAAAGAAGTTTTACAGGTCAGTCCTCATCAGCACTGCTTTTCCATTGTTATAGCATTAGACTATAACTACCTGAAACAATCCCCCACTGAGAAAATCCTCTTATTGACATCACTCAAAAAAACAAAATCCATTTGGGTATAATTTCTTTTAGTCGTATGGGAATACAAAGCACCAAAATGCCACAGTATTAGAAAATAGACAAAAGTGTAACAAAATAATAATCCAAGATTTATAGAAATAAATAAAGAAGCTTTTAGATAATTACATAATAAAACACTAATAATTTTAGATTATTTAATAATGTTGTATCGGTGAATGGTGGATACACTTTCAGTGGACAATATTACACATGTTTGTTAGGGTATTAGCAAACAGTATTTAGGCATGAGCAGAAATGTTTCAGATGTTTACCAAATAGGGCAGGGTAAAAAAAATAGATTTTGAATCGATTCCTTTACATTTTTGTGAATCGATGTCTAGGGAATGAGATTGATTAGTTTTATAGTGACGCGCGTGACGTTCACATTCAAATGAGCAGGAAAGATGCACTCAAGATGACTTCAAGCCAGACAGCTGTAAATATAGCCAATAGTTTGACTGAAGACATTAACAAATGGGGGCTGACCAGCAAAAACCCGGTGGTTGTTACAGACAATGCTGCAAATATAATTTGTGAAGATAATGCAGCTCATGCATGTCTGCTGTGTCCCCGCTGTGTCACATCTGCTTGCTCGAGTGAGGCTTCACTTTTTCACTTTTCACAAACAAGTTTGCACTTATGAGACAGTTTTGTTCACAACTGAAGTTTAAACTGTCTTATTTACGAGATTGCACCTTGTGTTTAATGTGACAGGAAAAAATAAAATGAGTATTTTGAAACACAGTTGAACCACTTTCATTATTATTATTTTTTAATATTATTATTGTAAATAGAGATTGAATCAAAATTAATTGATTTAGAGTTGTATTAATCAAAATCGAATCGATTCAGGACTTTGGTGAAAATACTCAGCCCTATTACTAAATAAGACCCCAATACAAAAGAAGTATGCATTTTGTAATAATGACAATTTGGCACACAAGCTAGAGCTTGTGAGGTTTTTAAATGCACAATTTCAATGCCCTATTTACAAATCAGCTTTGACATATGTGTACCAGTGTTATCTGATTCAGATTGATTGAACTATAGCAGGGAGATAGAAAAGAAACCGCCTGAAAATGTTATTTTTTTTCCCCCAGCTTTTCCACTGTGTTTAGTCATCGATTAGTTTTAGAAGGAGCTGAGGCAATGCTGATGCGTGTGTTGGAGAACTGCTCAAAATTGACATATTATTTAATCATCAATTTTTTGTTGTTGTGAATAGTAATCACCTTTATCAACAGCAATATTCATTGACATTGCTGTGCATTTTAGAATGTTACATTATCCCTAGATCCCTACAATATTAAGACAATTCAGTATGTAGCTTAATATTGCTCTTTTATTGAATGCATTTTTCACATTACCTTTTGATAAACTTCTGCAAGATAATCACTAAAACTCATGGAGGCTAGTGATAGTTATTCAGCTGATTGCATATGATATTGTAATCTAGAATAGGGCTGCAACAATTAGTCAGATTGATTATGATCAATGGAATATTGAAATAATCATCAACTAATGTTGTAATCGATTAATCTCTAACACATGCCATTAGCTGAAAGGGCACTCGGAGCAGTTATTTTGCCAAAATGTCATAGAAATGTATACAATTTTTTTTTTACAATGAAAAATCTTTTTTGCAGATGAATATGTTCTATCTATCACTCCTCAAAAGACATAGTTTTAGCTTCACTGTATCTAAATTCTATATAAAATCTTCTTTATGGCTCCTTTTGCTTTGCTATTATTAATTGCTTGATTAAAAATAATTAGTAGATATCAACAAAATAATCAGTGTTTGCAATCCTAATCCAGAATGTGATTAAATGGCAGTTAAACCATTATGAGCTTCCAAATATTGCATTCAAGCTGTCTTTTATAACTTGCAAATTTGTGATGATTATTGCAACTCCTATATTCTGAAGCTCCTTCCTTTCACAAGATGAAATCTCTAAAAGATAAACGTCATGATTCTGCAGTATATGTTCAGCTTTCATAATATTTGTTGAAACTCTTGCTCTTTTACTACCTGACTGACACTGACACCTCCCCAAAATGTATAAAACAGATTTCCAGCTCCGAGTGTTGTTTTGTTTTTAACTTTCATGAATTAACAACCTTCACACCAAAACGTGTTATTACTGTTCTCTAGTTGCATTAAATTGCCACTTCTAAAGAAGAGATCTGATTTGCATGGAGGTGGTCTATTCTTTTTCTGTTCTGCATGTTTATAGCTGAGCCTGCAACAAGTTTAACTCAAAAGGTTAACTAGCATCTCCTCAACGTTCATTTTTATCATCCATTCAAGCAACTACAAATGTGTATTATAAGCAAGTAGAGCTTAATATTGATCCAGACAGTTCTTTCATTACAGTATTGCAGTCACTGTTGCTTCAACGATGACTGCATTGCAGCACTTTTAAAGTAAAATTAATGTTATGGAGTCATTAATCGAAGCATACCAGGGTAGTTTAGGGTTATCTTTTATAGCCAAACTAACCAGTTTCTTTACTTTGTCTCAGCTTCTCCCGATCTGCAATCTGGGTGGGCACTACCTCGTTCATGATCCTGGTCTTGCCGGTTGTATTTGAGACAGAGAGACTTCAGTTGGAGCAGCAGCAGCTGCAACAGCAGAGACAGGTTTGTTTTTTAAGCATGTTTGCAGAGTTCATTTACCAGATTGTTAAATCACACTGACCCAACACTTGACTTATTAGAAGGGGGAGCCTTTTCTGTCACATCTCTTTAAAATGAAGGGAAAAATTAAAAATAAATAAGTTATTTAATTGAGTAAGAAGCTGAAAATATTTTTTATTTCCTGTTTCAGATCCTATTAGGACCCAACACTGGAATGTCTGGTGGGATGCCGGGGATGATGCCTCCTGCACCCGGCAAAGCATGAAGAGCAAGATATCAAAACATTAGTTCAAGTCTCCTGCTTTTGATACAGCCGGGATGTCTGCAGTTAGAGATGGAGAAAGAGAATGGAACACTGAGAGAAGGCCTGGGTATCAGCTGTAAATCAGAACTCATTCATTTCTCTCTCTTTGTCCCAAATGTCAAACTGAGACATATGTGTATGAGCAATGCATCTGTAGTGTTGTTTTTTTAATTAATTGTTGGGTGGGTAGCAAATATGGGTGGGTACATGAGTAAGAAGGGGTAAGACTTGTCTCCAGTCTGATCCGTGTTTCTGTTCTTAGTTCTGTCTTCATGTGTGCTTTATGTTCTGTATGCAAGGCATGGTGGTACTTAGAAATGTCAGTAAGGTCTAAAGAAGTATGAAAAGTGGGCGTGTTGACAGAGCAGCTTCATTTGAAAGACTTCTTTTTGTTTTGTTTTTTTCTATCTGGATGTAAAATGTTCATATTTGAGGTTGTTATGCCTTTCCCTTCAAACTCCACTAGAGAATTATTTCTCCACCTTAAAAGATTATATGAATAAGATCACTATAGCAGAGGTCGGGTATTTCATTTAAACCATGTAAAATCCATCTTCTTCTTTTTTTTTTTTTTTATTTCAAGCCAGTTGTCCTGTTTGTGGTTCGGGGTAACTTTATTATCCTAGAGGGGAAATTTGTTGTGCTAACAGTTTCCATTTTGGAAGCAATTTACAGTCTTACACTTCAAAATTTGCCTCTATTTTTATTTAACTTGACTGGGGGAAATAGCGAAAACACCAAATAAAATGAAATATCATGTAAACCCTCAAGTGTCAGATGTCCTAAATCAATCCAAACCATTTATTCTACTGTCATGCATGTAAGGATGTTTTGCCTGCTCCTACACACCACATTTAAATGAATAGATAATGGATCTCCAATGATTTACAAGACTTAACAAGCTAGATGAGGGAGGACCTTTTATTAGATGAGACCAAAACAGAACAGTGCATTTGATATGTAATGCAGCACCGTCGTCCCTGCAGTAGAACATGGAGGTGGCAACATCATGGTCTGGGGAGACTTGAGATACACGGGGAAACTGGGTAGATGGGAGGATAGATGGAGCTAAACATGTCGGACTTTATGAACGCATTAAATTCCCTGTAAGGCGCTGAAGTTGATTAAATGATGGAGATTCCATCTATATATATTTCGCCCAACATTGCACATGCTCATTACATTGATTTAAAAATAGTTGTAATTAGAGACACTAAACCAAATAAATAATTTAACAAAATATTGTTTAGCTGTTATCTTCTATTGTTGCATCACAATGGTTCAGTTTTTCTTCTAAACTTCAGTGATAATAAGTAAACCATTCCCTAAATATAAAATTAATGGGCTTGCTTAGGGACCTAGAATGGCAATCTCTCAAAGTTTAACTCAACCTCCGGGCCCCAAGCCCAAAGCGCTTATTACCAGGTCAATACTTCCCTCAAAATAACTGGAGATGCCGGGGATTGAACCCGGGGCCTCATACATGCAAAGCATGCGCTCTACCACTGAGCTACATCCCCACTGGGAAGTGACCGAAAACAAGATCATCAGGTATAATTTTTTCTGCTACAGGACAACCACTCTAGCCATGTACAGCCAGAGATACAATCGATGCAGATGGCTGCTCACACTGAGCCTGATTCTGCTGGAGTTTTCTTCCTGTTAAAAGGGAGTTTTTCCTCTCCACTGTCGCTACAAGCATGCTTGATGTAATGGTTTGCCTTCGAGTCAATGAGAGGATGCAATCAACTGGTTTTCCTTAGAAAACGTATCAATCCATCTGACTGTATGATCTGGTTGAATTGTCTCTGTAACGTGCCTGGAGATGACGTGTTTTGTGAATTGGCGCTAAATAAATAAATAAACTGAATTTAATTAAAGAGGGAAAACAAAAACACTGCTCACGTAAACCCAATTTAACAGCTACACTAGAAAGTTTTTCTAACCGACATGCCCTGTTAGATGAACCTAAATTAGAAAAAGAAGTTGTCTCTGTTGACTCTCTAAATCCATGACTTATGATTGTAAAACAGAAAAATGTAAGAGGGTCCTATGAACTATTGCTATAACTACTGAATGCAGTAATAATTTCCTTCAGCATTGGTATGAATGCCCAGCATAAGCAATGACAGGTTATTTACAGTAATAAAGCTAAACTTTTATAAGATTTCTAAAAAGTTTCAATGCAGTACATGAAAACATGCATTTCTTTACTTGAACGATCTTGACACCAATAAATCACAGACACCTTATTTATCAGGTATCCCTTGATTGAGGTGATTACTGATGCCTCCACCTGAGTCTTGTAGAGTTTCTGACAAAGTAAACTAGGCTGAATTGTGTTAACTTTATTCAATTTTCTTGTGTCGTTATCACCCACACAAAAAATAAATGAATGAATAAATAAAATTAATCAATGCTATGTATAGATTTTGGAGATATTGTTTCTTAGAACTGCCTATGGTTTATCCCACTGGGATGAAAAATACAAAAGTAATTTTAAATCAGTCTGAGCAGAAACACATTGTTAATATCACCATATTGTAACAGCTAGCT